AAAACATGTACACAGTTTAAAAGACAAAGAGTACTACAAAATTTATCAGGGAAACCAGCAACTTCCCTCCGTCATGCCTTCCTACTCTTATTCTACTCTATAGAGTAACCACTGTCAACAATGGGCTGTTTCTCCACATTCCTACACAAGGTGATTATAGGATTATTTCTTGATTTTCCAATTTTACACATTGTCTATGGATTTCCTATTGTGGAAAATGAAGATTTAGCTTTGTAATTCAGTTCCCATATACACACACACAACCGTGCTTCTCGAATCCTATGCCCATCCGCCCAATTACTTATTTCACAATTTTTGCTTAAATCCGTATTTAGTGTTTCTATTACTTTTTTTGGTAAGTAGTGTTAGCCTAGCCACTTGGTCTATTATGGAGAATGAGCTCTATCTCCAAGGTGCTTTCCCACACTAGCATTTGGGGAAGAAAAGTGTGAGAGTTCTTAATGAAAAAACCGTAGAATATTAATCATATGTGACCAAAAGCTAGTTTTCCATCAAGTACAATAAACAAAGCTTTTGCAATTCTCACCCCACAGGAAATGAGGAAAAGGGGATGAAATGGGGTGAGGTGGGATGAAGGGGAGACACTACCATTCTACTGAAGTTACAGATTTAGGTGAGATATGTTACTTTCTAGCAAGCAAACTGCCTTGATAAGATAAACAAAAACCCTAAAGCAATGACTATGGAGATATAAAAAAGTGTATCAAAGATTAAGGTTGACTGTTCCTGACCAGGAGGTACCAAAGTAAATGATGGAGCAAACTTTTAAAATGAAAGGAACAAACGATGAGATCCAACTTTTAAAATAAAATGAGTAACTCGTAATGTACCTTGTATAAGCTTGACGATCAAAGTACTGGCTTTTACTATTAAAGTCTTATCAAAAAAAGACATCAGTGAATAAATTAAATGTCACTCTGAGATAGGCTTAAAATTTTCCCAAAAAGTAGAATTTCAAGAAACCGTATTCTACACTTTAGCCATTTGTTTCCAAAATTTTCAGGCAAAAGAGCATGTTAATGGTTAAAGGCAGAGATAACACTGCTAAATATTTCAACCTGAATTCTGTATTAGTGGGCACTGTCCATTTAATGAGATAAACCAATGAGATAATGTACATAAAGTGCACAGCATTTGACACATAGTGGTGGCTGCTTAAGTATAAATTCCAGGATGCTATAATTTGTGCTCACTTACTTATGAAATTGAATCTGCCACTTACGTACAGTGTCTTCTTGGGCAAATCATTTAACTTCTCTGTGTCTCAGTCTCCTCATCTATAAAATGGTGATGATGGAGTAGCTATCTCATATTATTATGAAATTAAATGAATAATACATGTAAAATAATTAAAAATAGCACAGAGTAAGTGCACAATAAAGTAGCCTATGTAAGTGCTAGTCACTAATACTATCATTTCTTCTTTGTAAAATGGGGAAAACAGCTCAAGGAATTTTAAGGATTTCACACAGTGAAAGTAAATTGCACTGCACCTGCCTGACCTGTAGCAAACAATACACACTGGTAGTAATTTTCATTCTAAATACCATGAATTCCCACAAAGTACAAAGGAACAAAACCTCAGCAAAAACACGGCTGCATGCTACCCTGGCTGTAGAATATCGAGAAAGCTGACTGAACCTTTGAAGCCTTCCCCTTCCATGTATATGGACAAATACCTTGTGTAACTAAAACTCAGGCAAAGCTCCCTGAGAAAGCAAACAGTACTAGGCTGTACATGAGTGCCAGATAAGTGGTATAAACTGTGCTGTATGTGTTTAAAGGGCTCTCTGGGCTGAGGGAGAGAATGGGAGGCTCTAGAATCATGGGTACTTAACAAGTTTAAGAACATAAAAAAGAATGAAGTGTTGCCATTTGCAACAACATGGAGGGATCTGGAGGGTATAATACTAAATGAAGTCAGTCAGTCAGAGAAAGACAAACACCACATGATTTCACTCATATGTGTAAATTAAGAAACCAAAGAACAAAGAAAAAAAGAGAGAAACCAGAAAACTCTTAACAATACAGAACAAACTGGTAATTACCAGAAGGGCAGTGGGGAGGGGGAGGGGTGAAATAGGTGAAGGGGATTAAGAGTACAGTTTTTGTGAGGAGCACCGAGTAATGTACAGAACTGCTGAATCACTATATTGTACACCTAAAACTAATCCAACTGTATGTTAACTAAACGGAAATTAACATTTTTAAAAAAAGTTAAAGTATGAGGCAAGACAACCAAATAGGAGGCAGATCCTGGAGATGGTGAATCAGTCACCTATCTGACTAGAAGAAAGGAGGGATAGAAGGGAAGAAGGGGATTTTGAAGCACGAGTTTGGGGTGGGGAGTGTTACAGGAGAAGATGAGAAAGGCCTTTATTATAGAAGACCTTCCTTGAGAGACAATAACACTAAAGTTTTAATATTATTATATAAAACTATATACATATTTTATCTTTGCCCCATTCTTACATGATTGAGTTTTATTGGAACAAATTTAATTATTCTAACAAAGAAGAATGTAGTTCATGTTGAATATCAAAAAGAAATAGAATGAAATATATACAACTACAATTCACTTCTCAATTGCATTAGGATTCTCCTTTAGCTTATGGACCAGAAGGTAAGGAGGTCTTCCCATTTTAACATATGTACCATCTCAAAATTTAATTCTGCTTAATAACCTCGAGAGATGGTAATTTTTTCTGTAAACAACGGAATCTTGAGTGGGACAGGATCCCAGGAAATTATCTTGTAAAAGTATACAATTTAAAAAGTTAGAGGAAAGCCTGTTGCCCAGTAGACTCCTTTATTAGACTTCTCTTTCATCTACCTAATTTTATTTCTTAAAACCAAACCTTGATGACAAACAAAATTCTTTACACAAGTCCCGTTAGTCCCAAAGTGAAAAGACGACCTTGTTCACTGCTGTATCCTAAATACTTAAAAAGTGTAGGCCAAATAGTAGACGCTCAGTAAATATTTGCTGCAATAAATCTCTGTCCATCAGAAAATGCCTAGATTTTGAAGACTACTATAAAAAGTGCATCTGTCTGTCCAAACAAGTGTTTCCCTTACTCTCAGCTGTAAGTTCATGCTGCTGTACTTGTCTGGAAATTCAGAATCTGTTCTAATGCAACTGATATAATAGGGAACAATTTGAGCCTTAAGTGAATTTTGCTGTGATTTCGCAAGAAACACTAGCTGAACACAGAAAAACCACACTCAGCTGAAACAAGTTGTGTGTGAATAAACAAAATGTAAGTATGAACACACTTTAAACATCTGCCAGCCACCTCAGTTCACCCTATCTCCGCATGGTCCCACCTATCCACATCTTGTGTTACAACTTTCCTTCTGATTTCAGAAAACCCTTCCTTGACCACTTCACAATAAAAAGCTGCCACATCTATGCTCATTTCCATAAGCAAACTTCAGAACTTTTTCAAAGTACAACATTTGTTTGTATATTGTATACGAGTACATATTTCTTAATCATTTAACATGTGTAAAACTATTCTGTCATTTTTTTAAGGTTCCTATCCTTTTTAATTGTTCTCTGATAAAGTTTTTGAGTGTTGCATCCCAAAATCTGCTTTTTCCATAAGCCCTGTGGTTTTTTCCCCATGATTTGCATAGCATGGTGATTTTTAGAAACACATATGTTAAATTTTAACAGAACTGTCTGTACTGCAAAGCCCCTCTGACCTCAACAACTGTGAATACTAACTTCCCCAGGATGCCTACTGGAAAGGCAGAATGTTTCAACTTATCTCTTTGTTGTCAAAATGATATTAATAGTTTCTCATAACTAATTACAATTTGTGTGTCTTCTGTGGGTTGGCTGACATTATCAGACTGTGCAGTGAGTTATTCTTAAAGAGTATCTTCATCAGAGAAAGAAGCACTGATAGGCAGTAATAGCTGAAAGATGCTATAATTTTTAAAATCAAAGCAGATTTTGAAACCTTTTAGCCTCAATATGATTTCAGAATTAAACCTTAAAAAAAAAAAAAAATATATATATATATATTCCCTGCCTAATTACATACACTATTTTAAATATCTTTTACTTTAGTGATAGATTACCTAAGCATCTCATCAAATGCTAGTTAGGTAACAGTTGATGCACTTCACATCTGATTAACCTCAAAAGAATTTGCAAATGCCACTAATTGAACATGAAAAATTAAAAAAAAATGTTAACAGCAAATTATTAGAATTCTATCTCTTGGAACATGATGTTACAACTTTACTAAGGCAAAACAGACCCCACCCCCAACCAAATATATAATATCAAGTTATTTTCCTAATAGTTAAAATGCAGTAACTATAGGGGTGCCTGGGGTGGCTCGGTCGTTAAGCGTCTGCCTTC